GTCTTCCTCTAACTCCTTCCAAAAAGGATTCTATCTGGGTGATTGTTGATCGACTCACCAAGTCAGCGCACTTTATCCCTATTCGGGTTAATTATTCTCTGGATAAACTGGCTAAGTTGTACATTTCTGAGATCGTTAGACTTCATGGTGTCTCGTTGTCTATCATATCTGATCGAGATCCGAGATTCACTTCCAGGTTCTGGAAAGCTTTGCACGAGGCTCTGGGTACTCGTTTGAATTTCAATACAGCTTTTCATCCTCAAACTGATGGACAGTCTGATCGAGTGATTCAGGTATTGGAGGATATGTTACGGGGTTGTGTGATTGATTTTCGTGGTAGTTGGGAAGATTTCTTGCCGTTAGCTGAGTTTGCTTACAATAATAGTTATCAGGCGAGTATTCGCATGGCACCGTACAAGGCTCTGTATGGACGTAGATGCCGTACTCCTATGTGTTGGACAGAGTTACATGATAGAAAAACTTTGGGTCCAGACTTGATTCGAGAGACTGAAGATACTGTCAGACTGATCCGTGATCGCTTAAGAGAGGCATTTGATAGGCAGAAGTCATACGCAGATAAGCGACGTAAGGATATCGAGTTTGAGGTTGGAGATCAGGTTTTTCTCAAGGGTAAACTGAGTCCGCGATTTATTGGGCCGTATCGTATTCTGAAGAAAGTTGGACCTTTTGCTTATCAGCTTGAGTTACCTCCCCAGCTCAGTCGTATTCATGATGTTTTTCATGTGTCTATGTTGAGGCGATACCGTCCAGATCCAAATCACATCATTCAGGTTGATGAGGTAGAGCTGAGACCTGATTTGTCATATGAGGAGGAGCCTATTCAGGTTTTAGAGAGGGATGAGCGAGTTCTTCGGAATAGGCGTATTCCAATGGTCAAAGTTCAGTGGAGTAATCGTAGCTCCTCAGAAACTACTTGGGAAACATTGGAGTCAATGGAGATTCAATTTCCTCATCTGTTTTCATAAGGTAAATTTCGAGGACGAAATTTCTTGTAGAGGGGGAGAATTGTAACAACCTGAAAATATGAAAATAATTTTTAATTGGCATTTGAGAATTTAATTGTGTAAATTAGTGAATTTTTGGGACTAAATTGAAAGATTTTAAAACTTGTAGCTTGTTTTAGAGTTAAAGGAAATTCAGGGACCAAGCCCTGAATTTACCCTAAAAAGTTAGGTATTTGGGTTATATATGTTATATACGTGAATTGGGTTCTAAAAAATCAGAACCCAATTCCTCCCAAATTCCCTCTCCTAACCTCAACTTCCGACGAAGATCCCGACATCGTCCGAATTCCGATCGTCGTTTTGAAAGTACCATCGTGTTCGTTATCGAGTCAGGAACCATCCCCTTAAATTAATTGAAGCGAAACGTTGCCAAACGTCGTGAATTTCAAGTCAAAGCGTCGACGTTTTTTTTAGCTCAATCGCCAAGAAAATCCTAAATTCATCGCCGATCGTTGCTCCGTTTACGACACCTCCCGCACCATCGTGTTCCTTGTGCCGTTCCGAGTCCACTGGTGTTCTACTTTTTCTCCAGCGGCGGCGGCGCGTGGGGAGGTGAAGCGGTCAAACTTCCCGATTTGATGAAATCGAGCTCTCCGCCGTTCAAAAATTTGAACCGAGCTTTGTAAGTATCTCGAAAACGCTCAAAATAATTTTTAGAAAATTTTCCGTAATTTTTAGAGCCCCGGAGGGCACCTCACGCTCCACACGCGCCGCCGTAGGGCGAGTGAGTGACCGGTTCAACCGGTTTTCTTAAGGGTTTGACCGGTCACGACCCGACCCGTTGACCCGACCCGACCCGTTGACCCGACCCGACCATTGATCGTTGACCGGTGCTATTCTGGGAAATAATTCGGTTGACCGGTGCTATTCTGGGAAATAATTCGGTTTTGGTTCTATTCTGGGAAATAATTCTGTTTTGGTTCTATTCTGGAAATTAATTCGGTTTTTGGTGCTATTCTGGGATTTAATTCGGTTTTGGTGCTATTCAAGGAATTAATTCAAATTTGTGCTATTCTGGTAATTATTTTAAAAAGGGTGCTATTTGTGTAAAATGTTCAACAGTTTGTTGACTTCCTTTGACCAAAACTTTAACCGGCGTTGACCGGCTATTTAACGATCGTTAATCTTTTTCGAAAATACATATCCTAACAGTTTTCAATGTCCCGAATCCGTTTTTGGGGTCCGTTTCACCAAATTCGAACCCGAAAGTCTCCAAATCGTCAGTCAAACCCTTTGACTTTGATTTTGACCAAGAATTCGAAATTTCGGAAGGTCATACTTTATGTTTTTCGACGTCTTGAATTTGATTCCGAAGTCCGTTTTTCCAAATTCTGACCCGAAATCCCCGAATCGAGCTTGTGAACCCAAAAAGGCTTAGTATTTTAGTATTTTGATTATTTATTTGAGATATGGTTAAGGAATTGATTAAGTAAGATATTTTATGAAGTACTCGTGTTTCACCTGAGCAAGGATCAGTCAGGTCCGGTGTTGTCCGTTCATCAGATCAGTCCGAACCGCGTATTACAAGAACTACCCGTAGGTTTCCGTATATTATTTAAGTAAATATTAAGATTATTTTTTTATTAGAATTCCAATAAGGATTTTTCCAATTCGTAGGATCTAGCGTTGCAGCAGAGCGTGATTGACAAACCCAGTATTAGGCTTCCCTATCCGATTTCTCAGACTGTTACAGGTGTGTTTCCTGATAGTGTTATATTATTGTTTTAAAGTATATAAATGAATACTGTGTATCTGATTTCTGATTTACTGCATATTTCTGATATGATTTCTGGTTACGGTATTTATTCCGTTTTCTGAATACTGATTACTCAACAACTGAATTACCATACATTACTGATTTGATTTTTGATTTCTGTATTTCTGTTTATGGTTTTCAAGCTTGAAATATTCTTATGTTTTTAAAGAATTATTCATTGTTTTATACGAATACATTCATGTTCATTTTTATCATTGGGGGAAATATTGTTGGAGGAAGATTACTGTAGGCTCCTCGGCTGTGTTCTCAGGGCCTTACTGTTACTGGTTGTGCGGGGTGTATGGTTCTGGGGAACCTACACAAACAGATTGTGAAAGGATGGGGGTAGTGTTCATGTTTTCAAAACATGTGCATAAACATATTTTCTTGTAATATATTTCGTTAATATGTTTTTATACACTGTTTGGAGCACACTGGGCTTTTTAGCTCATTATGTAAATTTTAATCTTTTTCAGATAACAGCAGACCGTAAGCTAGCAGATTTGGCATCAGGAGAAATCAACTACTTTATTTTGTACGAACATATATTTTTATATGTTTTTCGGTTATGTTTGGTGACATGTATTTTATTATCGTTTTGGATATATCGTTATTACTGATATTTTGTTATGTATTATATATAATGTTTTATAAGTTGTTTTAAATATAAAGGAATCTCTGAATGGGACATGTGCCCCGCTTAGGTTTGGGTCTAACGTTTAGACCGGTTCTAGGGGGTTACAGAAAAGGTTCTTACTAATATAAACAAAACAAAGCACTGATTCCTTAATTCCAACTTAGGTAATATCGATACTACAAGCACAATATCGTTACCTTTATACTTGTAGTATCGATACCATACCACGATATCGATACCCATTCTGAATTCTGTAATTTCATTGCAAAAATGGTACCAATACCTACCCACTGGTATCGATACCCATGGTACCGATACTATCACTTCCGTATCGATACCCCATGAATATTTATCCTACTTTTGCCTTATGGTATCGATATTGTTCATGGAGTATCGATACCCTACGCATAATTATCACATATTTTACATTGTAGTATCGATACTTACTCAACCGATACTGATACTTCTAGCCCAGAATATGCTTCACTAACCCGAAAATTATCATCGCTTTGCCTAAACTCCACTTACCACTCCCTTCATGCCATTAAACTCAATTACATATACTTAAACCATATTTTATCACTATAACACCTCATCATCTTCAATATCTCATCATAATTCTTGAAACTAAATATCTTACCAAATTTTTAACATGTTCTCAATTCACTTCTATTACTTCTAACTTTTTAATTAGACCCTTGACAAGTTAAATTCAACTTCAAATTCATTTACTCCTTCTATTCCAATAATTCACTCAAAAACTCATTTTAATTAATCTCTCATAACTTGTAAATCTTTGAGCTTTAAGCCACTTTGAGTTTCCCTTAAGCTTTCTTATCACTCTAAGGATCAAAAGAGACTTTAAAATGAAAGAAATAACTAACTTGAGACCAACTTTCCTTATTCAAGGTTACATGGGAAGAGAAGAAGAAGAAGATAGCTGATCTCACTCTCTAGATTTTTCTTTCCCCTTTTCCTCCTCATCTCCACGTGTTAATATCCTTTATAAAGGAAAGATAAAAATCATTCATTTGAAAATACCAATTTACCCTTACTTCATTCAATATTTACTAAACCATCATTCACAAAATATTCCCAATTAAGTCCCTAAACTTTTCAATTTTTTGAAATCAGACCTCAATGCTTTAAAACTTACATTTTAGTCACTAGCCCTGATTTTGAGATGTTACATGGTTTCTTGCTAGATTCGCCTCCATCAAGTCTCCCACTCTTAATTTCCATTTCAATCATCTCACCAGCCGTGACAACATCAATAAAACTCTTAAAGAAATTCCCTATGAGGTGGGTAATGAAATGAGCTCTTAAAGTGTTTACGAAGAGCATAATTGTCTCTTCTTCTTCAAGTGGTGGATGCACTTGTTCATCCACCTGTCCATCTCTAGGCATATTGTCTGAAGTTCTCATTATATCTCTTTTCCATGCTCTACATTACAAGTTGATTGGGCATCACATCTTTCACATGTTTGTATTGTTCAAGAAAAGCTTTTGCCAAATCTTTCCATGACTTGATATGAACCCTGCTCAATTGGTTGTACCATCGAATGACAGAACCTGCTAAGCTCTATTGGAAGCAATGAATCAATAATTGATCATCCCCTATATCGCCAATCATTTTTCTGCAGAACATTGTGATGTGAGTAAAGAGGTATCTCGTGTCGTCAAATTTTTCAAACTCTGGAACTTTGAACTTAGGTGGTAACACCAAATCAGGAACCAAACTTAATTCTTTAGCATCAATTCCATACATTCTAGTGTCCTCCTTCATAGCCCTAATTTCTTCTTCTAGTTGTTTCCATTTTTCTTCAAATTGTTCGCTTGACTCTTTCCTACCTTCCTGGCTAAAATATAGGACATCTTCAGCTTGTTGCTGGTTTACAGAGGTTCCAAGTAAATTTATGTGCACTCTTTATGGCTGTAAAACCGCTCCTTGTTGTGCTCTAACATGAGGTGGTGTAAAGCCTAGGGGGTATAAGGGTTCTTCAGTGGTAACACCAATAGTTGGAGCTTTTTCATGATCTGCTCGTGGTGCGAAACCTTCAGGGTACAAAGGTTCTTCGGTAGTAGCACCGACAGCTGGGGCATTTTCTCTATCAGATCATTCTAGGATTTCAGCATTTGTTCGCGCATCTCATCTTGAGCGTTTTTGAAGATCTTCTACATTTCGAGTTGAGTCTTTTCGATTTAGGCAATTCTCTCGTCCATTGCCTTTTTCCGGGTATGGCATGGATGCTTAGAAGTGTCTAATATTCTGTAGTGTACCCTTTATTTTTAATTTTGATTTTTTGAAGTTGAATGCAAATTATGTGGAAATAAAATACTTAACAAATAATTGTAAAACTGCGAATAAAATGCATAACACAAAACTTGAATTGTAAATAAAATGCAAATGTATGTAGAAAGACATTGATTCATAAAACATGACCAGTCTTAGAAAAACTTTCATTTAGGTAAAAAGAATCATCATTACAAGATTAATCCATTACAGAGAAGGCCTAGCTCTAGTATTCAACTCCATTATCTCATTGACAAGCCAAGTGACCCTTTTTCCCAAATATGGTGATGGATTTGTATAGCTCTGGATGACTGTTGCTTGGAATCGTCTCTCCTAGCTTCCTTGTAACATCACTTAATTGATTCGTGGTTTCAATGATTACACGATTCATATTTGTTTTATAGTCCTCAAAGTGTCACTCGCATTCTGCCACTGCCACCTGGTGCTTCGGATAGTGTGCTCAAGACCAGTGATCTGTACTTGAAAACTTCGTAAGGTATCCTCTAAATCATGGACCTTTCTTCGTAAAGTGGTATTCTCTTCAAAGCTAACCCTTAGATCTGTCGGCATGCGCTGACCATTCTCTGTAAATAAGGAATTTTTGAGCTGCATAATGTAAGCACTATACTCTTCATTCTTTGCCTGAGCCTGAGCTAACACTTCCTCATGCCTTACTTCTGTCTCTTGCATCTCTTGATTGAGGACCTCTATTCACTCGTTCTTTATCCCACAACATTGTATCCAAAGGAAAACTTCATCATGCTTGCCTTGGAGCACATGATCTCGATGTTGCCTTTCTAATTTCAACTCTTCACTGCTTCGCCTCTTTTCAACTTCGAGCTCATCTATTATTCATCCTCTAATCTCAAGTTCACTTAGCATGTTATTCACCTACATTCTAAACCCCTTAAACATATTACTTTTCTCAACTTCTAATTGTTATAGTCTTCACTTCCCCTCCTCTATCTCGTTTAATCTGCTCTGATTTTCAACTTTGAGCTCCTCAATATTAGCTTGCAACCCTTGCACTTAAAAAATGTGCTCCTCTTTTCTCTTATTGCTCAAGGTGTACCTTTGTCTCAATTCTTTAGCTTATTTTCTTTCATTACTCAGTGCACGAGCCCATAACTTTTTCTCTATCTCGAGCTCTTGATCTATTTTCTTCTTCTCTACCTCTAGTCCTCTAACTTGGCATTCTCTTTCATCTTTGGCGTCCTTAACTCGACGATATTTTTTTGCCTTGAGTTATGACTTCCAATGCTCTAAAGTTTTTCCTAATCCAGTAATTTCCCAGGCCCAGTTCATTTTTCGGTAATCTTTCTGTAAGTTTGCGAAATCAACCTCAACCTCATCTTTCCTCTTTCGCATGAGCTCAAATTGTTTACTATAGAATCTCATAACGAGGTCTAACATGAAATTCTCTTCCCTAAGACCTTCATATTCTTTTTCCTTTCTGGAAATTTTGGCTTCATATTCATTTCTCAATATTTCCAACTTTGACGACACATATCTGAACTGCTCTTCTAAAGGAATAACTCGATCACGGTCAGTTAAGGGAATGATGTCATTTTCCTTACAGCTCTCCAAGTCACATAATCCGGTGTTAACATGACCTCAGTTGCTACCATATCGGTCCGAAATGTTAACTTCCATGCATTTGACATTAAACGAGCGATTTTCTTCTAATGATCTCCGTGGTAGACAAATTAGGACTTACTTAGGCCTGAGGTGGCTAAGACGAATTGGCGTGCCCCATATTGCCTTTACACCATTAGTGGAGCATCCCTATTCCACCTCATAACCCTAACATGGTTACCCATTCATAATCCCCACATTTGTATAATATATCGATAAAGGCAAACTAGGGGACGCGCTATACTATATCATGATCTTGTAAATTCCTAAAAAATGAAACCCAATCTTTTCTTGTGAGATGCTCATATCGTTCTTTGGTGAGGAAATCTTTCAAGGGTGAATAGGCACATGAAAATCGAGGACTATATTCTCGATCATTCTTCCAAAAGTGGCTACGGATCCAAACAGTAAGCAACTGAATACACCCAATGAAGTGGCTACTCTCTGCTCTTTTGCAACTGTTAAGCGACCTGAATGTCTCCGTTAAGAATGTAGGAACATGATTCAATTTCCTTTCAAAATGCTCAAATAAATCAACCACAGTGGATTTTATATAGAAAAGAACTTTTGGCAAAATCACTAATCCCGTAAATCCCCAAAGCGAACATTTCTATGCTTTTCTCAATATCATTGTGTTTGACAATAAGTTCTTTAAGGAACAGACAAGGAAAACAATCTGACTCTCATTTCTTTTGGATTCGATCAATTACCCATTTCTCTACCATTCCGGTAATATTTGCGAGCTTGCTTTTGAAGGGTTGCACTTTTTTCGCCTTTGAGTAGATTATATCCAAGTGCACCATTTCGAAATGAAACATAGAGGTGTACTCTTCTAGCGTGGGAGTCATGTCCTCCTTGTTGAAAGTAAAACAACTATATGTTGGATTCCAAAACTGAATCAGAGCTTTAATCAAGGGTTCATTTACTTTCACATACAACAAAAGATCTATGTCACCATACTTTTACCAGAATGCATGCCTCGTATCAGATTTCCAACTCTATCGATTTCACGTAGACCATGCAGATCATTTTGCTTCAAACTGACTGGAGCGACCTCTGGTAGCACTGATATGTAGTCTTCAGTCAAACTATCCCCCTTCTTCCTCTGAGTTTCTTCAGACCATGATCTCACTTTTGCATTCTTTATTTCCTTGTTATGAAAACTCTTTTCCATTTTATGACCGCCTTATACTATGATGACCACTTTGTGAACCAACACCTTTCTTAATGAATGATCATGCAATGCAACAATACAAAAAATAGAAACAAAAATAAAACTATGTTAGTATATACAATGAATAATCGAATAACAAGAAAATATATCAAAAACTTTACCCATATGTAATCTACCCAATATTTTACCCTCATGCTTTTATTTGGCAACTAAATCCTAATCACATTTTTTTAGTTTACAGGCTTCGTACAGAAATATAAAACCTAAGCACATACTTTTCTAGTTCTCATACTTCTTGCAAAAATAAATATATAGATTCAAGGAAAAGGTTAGAATGAGTTTCCCCTTTGTGACTTTTGAAGAAACACGGATAGATATTCAGTATAAAACGGGAAGAAATTCAGTACTACTACCAAGGTCCTCAAATTGTCCTTTTTTTGGTGCCCCCCTTGAACCTGCTAGACCCTCGATCCTCACCCATTATAGGCTTAAACAGATCGAGTTCAATTTGAGATGATGCATTTCCCCATGTCAATGCGAGGAAACTCAATGTTTCACTCGTAAACATGAGGCATATGTACCCCATAGGTTACGTACTAAAGCCCATGCGGAGAAAAATAATTTTTCTCACGTAAGCGTAGCGTTCACCCCTACCTAATAGGGAAGAGCACAATTAGAAGTCTCTAAATATCAAACGATTTTGGCATGTGTGAGGGGAAACTCAAAATCATTTGCCTTGATCCAAGAACAATCAAACCAAAAAGGTCAGAAATCTGAAACACGTTAACCAATCACATTAGTACGACTAATAAAAGAATGTGATGTGATGCAAACAAATCTTAAATATCAAAATTTAAATATCATTCATATTTGCCATTTTCAACTAAAAAGATAACGTATAATCGATTACGACCTGAATATCTAACTTCCCCAGTGGAGTCGCTAAGCTGTCGGAACGGTCCTCAAGCTTTTTGGAGCTATGGTAGGGATCGATCCAACTTAATCTTGGAAAATATTGGGTTTTTATAATAAACATACAAATAAATAAATTTGGAGTCGCCATCGACCTTTGGGTAGGTAAGTCGAATACTTAAAAAATACTTTTTAAAATAATTTTAAGAAAAACAATTTTAAAAGATAAAAAATGATATGCGTTTAACTAGAAATTTGTTTTGAAAAATGTTTGGGAGTCAATTACGTGTGGGGATGGATTAGCACCCCCACAACGCCCGAAATCGGTACCTAAGCGATTATACATCATCTGAATGTTGAATTTGGAAAACTTGAATGTACATTTAAATTGTGATAATTTCTTAGAAAAATTAAAAGGGATATTATTTTGTACTAACAATTTTCGAAAATACCTTCCTTGTTAGTTAAGGAGGTATTTCCATGGATTCTCCTTACAAAGTAATATTTCCTTAATTTTACTAAATCATATGCATAATAATTTTTAAAACAACTCGAATATAAATAGGTATTATTTTGTATGAAAAATCATTAGGAATATGATCCTCGTCAGTTAAGGTACATTTCCATAGATTCTTCATACAAAATAATCTTGTCCTAACTTATAGATAAAATACAAGTATTATCTAAAAAAAATTATTCAAATATAAAAGGCATTATTTTGTTCGAACAATTCTTGGAAATGTACTCCTTGTCAGTTAAGGCGCGTTTCTATAAATTATCCGCACAAAAATAACATTTAATATATTTTACTTTTTTAGAAAATACTAATATACACATATAGATTGAAGCAATGTACATTTAACAATTTCCTAATAATGTACATCATACCAGAGAGGTTAAAACACAGAAGTCAAATAGGTCGTATTAAGATATAACTAAAAACACATAAACTTTAAAGACCAAACTGAAAAACAACAAAGACTAGGGTAAACAGTGCAAATATTATACAAACTAAGCACCATAATAGTAAATAAACCAATAACACTATTCAGAATTAAAAAATTAAACTTAAGGATTAAACTGTAAAACCAACATAAATTATGGCCATAAAAAAGAACAATACGCAAGCTAGGGACTGGAATCATAATTTAACCACCATTAATATTCAAGATTAAAATGAAAAAAATGCTAAAATAGGGTAATCAAACTAAAATAAACATAAAAATAACATAACTAGTATATATGGACTAAAATATATATGGGGATAAACTTGGAGTTCATATCATATCAATTAAAACTTACATATAGTGACTAAAATGAACAAATCACAAAGTATAAGGCCTGCAGATATGGTATTCCCACCACTCAAAACACGGAACCCCATCCCCAAAATGACGTCGCACCAAAACGGGTATATAAGCTCGAAAACTTTCATTTGCAATCTCTCTCTAAAAAGAGAGAAAAAAATTATCTTTGCCTTCTCTCTCCCCTCTCTAGCCAGGGGAAGGCTGGCAACCGCCAGCCATCGCCCGCCAGAATCCTTCATCACCATCCATTGCGGCTGGAGTTCGAAAAATGAGCCCAAAATAACCCTTTTCTAACCCTAAACCCGAATCCAAATACTCCCTAAGCCTAAAATTCCCCCAATCGTCGTAGATCTAAGGTTTTACCTTCGAAAAATACAAAACCCCGATGAAGCTTGAAGACTCCGGTGATGGCGAGGTAAGATTCTTCTCATTGTTCCCATTCTCCTTTCGAAAGTTTCTCTCTTTTTTGCTTATGGTTTCCTTTTTTTTCTAAGAGGACTCCCGATTCCTTTTTGTTGTTGCTCCTTTTTTTAGACCGACCCTTTTTTCTGATCTCCCTTCTATTCTTTTATCTTCATTTCTTGATTTGGGATCGATTTGATGGTGGTATAGAACAGGAATAGATTTTTCTGAGTTTGGTGGCTGAAATTTCGGTTTCAATA